GGACGGCGTGTAGCCCAACGTAGGTAGATAATTGGTGACAGAAAGTGTCTACAGCGCTGGTGCAGCAGGGGGAGCAGCAATGACAAATAGCAGTGCTCATAAGCCCAATGCAATATCATCAGGGCCAAGTGTGTGTGTTTTTGTGTGTGTGTGTGTGTGTGTGTGTGTGCGCGCAGTCTCCAGATCCACACAAACAAACGAAAAGAAAGGCCAACGTGAAGTCATGTGAAGTACACAATAACACTACAATACCTTCCGCAGCCTGATGTAATCCTCTGGCATGTACACTTTATATCAAATATTCGTACTCTTACTTGGTGGAATTGTTGTGATGTAGCTCCAGTTAGCGCTGATTCCTACCAGATGGTTATGGCTACGTTGGGTTGTGATGAATTTTTTCCATGTTAACGTAATTTCTCCATGTCGACGAGTTTCTCCCCGCGAGTGATAAACAAAACAATACAGGTGGACGTTTTGGAAGGAGTTTATGGGAGATATTTGAAATTCTGAAAAAAGAAATATGTCAGCCTGTGAAATTTAAGCCCCGTCTTGCTGGAATTCTGAAGACTTTTGAGGATTCTTGGGTATTTTGATGCAGCGAAACTACCCTCAAGAGCACAAGAAGGAGCTCACTGTCGTAGAAAAAGTGCAAACCAGAGTCGGATTGAGGGGTTCTCCATTGTGGAGTCTGCATTTTCTCCCCAAGTTTCCTCCAAGAGCTGGGGTTTCTCCAACCATCAAACACATGCCAAGTGCCCTTAACCAAGGCGCCCACTTAGAGCTGGAGTTGGACCCCAGCAGTGACTGCTCAATGCTCTCATTACTTAGGGCGGGTTAAATCTAAAGAACAAATTTACCTGTTGGGATCAATAAAGGATAAACAAGTAAACAAGTAGTAAAACAGAAAGTATTATCTGTTCTGTGGTGGGCTTTAACTTTAAATCCAAGGTCTTTTTTTATCCTTAATTGGGTACAGAAAAGGATGGGAAGTAGAGATCACGGATTTTCTTCAATTTTTAATTGGGTTTACCGAGTTTGCATGTTTGTTTTTGTATGTATGTTGATTAGGAATTTCAGAGATGTGAAAAAAACAATATTGTAAATAAGTGTTGATCTTTGTCATATTCAAAAGCACAAAGGCTCGTACACTCAGGCATGTGAAATCACGACATCAATCATTTCAGTAGAATTTCTGTAACCTGTGGATTTGCTCAAAGGAGGAGAAGTAAATATGTGCTTCATATTAGCTGTTTTGTTCTGCTCCTCTTTATTTAATCACCTCTATTAAACTGTTCTACATTAGAGGAATGATTTGCAAACTGTTTTGAAATAGGAGTTCATAGAGGAAAGGCATCTTTTAATAAACTGTGTGAATTTTTTATTCCGATAGCAACCAAGGTAACAAGCTTGTTAACTGAAAATTAACAAGATTTCTACCTTGCATAGCTTTTTTTTTTTTCCCCTCGAGGCAACCTTTTAGTGAATGATGGACAATCCTGAGAATAAAACGACAGTGAACGGCCTTCTAGAGAGAAAATGGAAGCAAATTGGGCAGCTATTGTGACTGACCAATGCTAATATAGTAATGATTAGTGCACCAGCTAAGGTACTTGCCACTTTCTGGAGTGACCAGGTTGTTCAAAAGTCAAATAAGGCTCCCCTTTTTTTTTTTTTTAGCAGAATACTGCAAAGATAGTTCATTGTACTATGACTATGTAACCTCTTGTTTTAACCCTTTTCTAAATGGGCCGTTCTGGTGTCTGTAGCTTCAAATAGTTTATCTGCTGATGTATCTGCAGGAAGTGGACTCTCTACATCTGTAATTGACTATATAGAACAAAACAGTTCAGAAAATACAGACATGGTTGAGTGTGTGAGATCTTTCCGTTGCTTCTAGCTTAGGCCCCATTTACCAGTAGCAAAAACGGTGATATTTCAATGAGTTTGGTCCTTTGGTCTACACGTAAACAAAGCTACAAGTCACTGAAAACAATCATATCTGAAAATTCCAGCCAAAGCGGAGATTTGGAAAAACTCTGTCTTTACATGTAGACAGGAGGAGACAGAGTTTCACAGTGTGCGACAAAAGTGTCATCAGCGTCATATGTGTGCGACCATGTTGGCTACTGTGATAGAAATGGATGCTGTTCAAGCAGTGCTTGTTTTAACACCACATTTAGGACTAGCTCCACTTCTCTGTCGGTCCAAACAAACGACCCTTCCGCCATTATCGTTGAAGTAACAGGAAGTAATTCATGCCATTTGTTGTTGTGTTTTTTCCAAGATTTTGATTGGCTAGCATGGCGTTATGCTTCTCATTACACTGCCCCCTATAGGTTGACACGCTCATCGCAGCTCTTAATGACGTGTTTATGCCGGTTTGTGTAAGATTTTACTGAAAACGATCTGGAGTGAAAAATTTCAGTTTTGAAAACGTAGATCCGTTTCCGGCTATGTGTAAACGTGGCCTGAATCTCTGAGCGATTATTTTTAAATGGAAATATTGCTGAGTTCATAGCCCAGCCTTGGCCTCTTGATTCATGTGAATGATGAGTTTGTCAGACATCACTGAAAAAGCAGTAAGCAGTAAAGAGCTTCAGCTTCTGGATATGTCTTTATAATCATACAGTTTCAATATGTTGTGTTTTAGTCATAATTTCAAACTTATTGTCTGACAACACAAAGATATCTAAATAAGAAACTGTAGCTGCATTTTAAATGCTGTATATGTGAGCACAGAAGTTAGCAAACAAACAAATGGATGTAAAAGACAAGATAATGGTAATATTAGTCACATCAGCTGAACAACATGCTAACCCCAAGAATTCGCCATTATTGTGGTAACATTGCCATCAATAATAAAAGTAATTCACTGGGTTTTTAGTTCCTTAGATGCTGCCAGTGCATGAAAACTGTTGTGTTCAGTCTTGCAGCCATTGACAGAACATTTGCTTTGCTCATGGTTGAGGCATTTTAGAGTTAGCAGAAGCAGCTTTGTAAAGCAAACAAAATGTGATGACTGAGAGGCAGCTGCCCATTCTGAATGGCAGTGAGGGGGCAAGATTATGCAAATTGTAGCTTGACGATTATTCATTCCTAAATGCTACGTGGAAATTTATTGAAAGTTTGTCTGTCTCGTAAAGATGCTAGGCTCTCTGCTTGAAGTTTTTTAAGACATACAGAAAACACAAGGAACAAATATCTGTTCATAGCACAAAATTCTCTGTATGTTACATGCAAAACAAGATAATTACCTCACGTGTGTTCCTCTTTTAATTGTTGCACCCTTCTCTGTATATCTTGCGTTTTTTCTCTAGTATTTGATGACGCTCCCTGTAGTCTCCTCACATCCAGCCATTTGCAGTCTGAAAATCTTTGCACCATTTGTGTGAATGGTGGACAACCTGAGGTGCCCTCCAATCAAATTTTCCCCTCTCTACTTTCTGACAAGTGGAGGAGACATCCAGTGGCCCCCCTAATGAATTCCCACTAGCTTGCTGTCTGCTCCTGGCAACATGCTCCCCATTTCTATTAGCCTTCCACAGAGTCAGTGGGAGGTGAAGGAGGAGTTCAGAACCGGGAGGGATGGAGGAAGAGAGAGAGCGATAGGAACTGAATGTGAGATTTTTAAAAAGGAAACAGGGGAAGTGAGATGGCTGAAACAGAAAGAATGCACTGCGAGATGGAGCAAATACTTAACACCAGGCTAATGGCCATCTCCTATTTTCTGTCTCTTGAAGAGCAAAATCTCTCCTGATGGTATTCTGTCTGTTTGTTGTTCAGAATCACACATACATCCCTTTACTTCCTCCCTGCTCGTTTTCTCTTTTACACCCTTTCCAGATGGATGTGGTCAATTTCTTTCCATCTACTCCTCTTGATCCCTCTTCCAATGTAAATGAGGCTTAATTGGCTGGGAGTTGAAGCTCCAGGCGTCCTCTGCATGTCACGTCACCGATTGAGACAACCTTGAAGCTGACCCCAGGGCCTTGGCCATTGATTTCTCTGTCCTTAGCTTCGGTGTTAACTCATCGTACCTAACCTCAACTCTCACAGTAATCTTGCCTTAATCACGCCTGGATTTGACCTCGAAACTAAAGTTCTAAAATAAGCACTTTAATGACCTGCCACTATATCTTCATAATCTGAGCATATGAGTAGGTTCTCACAAAGATAGAAGCACCACAACGCACACACATACACGCACACACTGTTCAGCAAGCTGTTGCCTTTCCACCCTATTGTTAGCAAAGTTCCTTTTCCTGCAGTGTGTTGTTTCTAATTAGACCAAGACAGCCGGCTCTGCCTCTTGCAAAGCACACACACACACACACACACGCTTCGCCAGGTGGCCGGTTTGCCCACAGGACTCACCCTTGAGAGTTGAGCCCGTGGGAAGTCAAGTAAGCACAGGTGAACTGTGTGCAGCTCGGGCCAGGAAAAAAAAAAAAAAAAGATTTATTGCGTTTTGCAGATTGTGACGTGTGGGTAAATTTTCAAGCTTATTTTTTTCTCACTTGCCTCTATTTTGTGAACCACCCATTTTAAGCTCGACACTGCTGTTTTACTTTGAAGTTTTCAGCAAAAACTTTCAGCAAAAATGCTTATTTGCTTTTTTTTTTTTTTTTTTAAAGCAGACAGTTATATGAGAAGATCAATACAGCTCTCGCATCAGCCAAATAGGAAGCTGCAGCCAGGAGTTGCTTAATTTAAAGACTGGAAAAGTAGAAAAAACAACCAGTCTAATGGTAACAGCATCTGCCTCCAAGCACCAAGCACATCTTATTTACGTAATCTTCACAGAACCTGAGGTGTAAAAATGAAAAGCGGGATGCTTTGGGGCCAAGTGAGAGTCTGTTTCGTGGTTGGACGCAGCAACTTTGTGGAGTGTCTGCTCAGCAATAAATACAATTTGTTCCTCAATATGAACAATTTCTCTGTCATTCGATGCATTTTAATTCCATTATTAATTGCATTATTGTCTTTCTTTTTTTTTTTAGGTAAGCAGGACTACAAAAAGACAAAGTCCGCCTTAAAGCTAACACGGCTGAAAGCTGAAGCAAAGAAAAGTTCCTCTGGATTCAGGGTAAGACTGGCCTGGAGTCTGCATCCACATGTACTCCCTTTATTTCCCTCTTGCCTCTCCGTCTCAGCCCATCTGGGATTCTGCTCGTCTGTCTGTCTGCCAACCATCTTTTTTTCATTTGTCTGTCTGTCTAACTGCCTGTTTGAAAGGTTGTCTCGCTACATCATTTTTAATATCTCAGACAGCCACTGTAGCAACTTACTGCAGGTCTTCTGGAAATGAAACGATCTGCAGTATATCTACCTATAACATCGTCATGTGGCCTTTTCCTTGGACTTCTGAACAAGTCATTAAGGAGGAGAAGGAATAGTTGTGCCCTCCACAGAATAAAATATGGAACCGTGTTTCCAAAAAGGAGACATAACTCGCAGCCTTTCAAACGCATAATTGTAGATTTAAAATTCAAAGGTGTTGGTTTGTTTTTATTGGGAAAGGAGCAATCAAATGGGACGAGCAGAGACTGTGGGAAAGAATGGGAAAGTGATGAGATGGATGGAGGTGGTACTGTGAAAGTGAAGGGAGGTGAGAGTGTTGCTAGGGTGCGTCTCTCTGTTGCTTTGCCACACTGCAGTGATTAGGAGCTGTTGTGCTGGCAAAGATGAATGACTCCATGTTTATCACTCTAATGGCAAACGCGGCGCTGCTGTTTATGCTTTTGGCTTACCAACTGAATGAAGAAAAGGTTTCACCATGTAGCTCTTGCCTATGAAATAGCTTGTCTGAGTCTACCATCACAGGTTTTGAAATCCTCTTTGAAATTGCAGATACGGTCAGATGTACGCAAATCCTCAGTGACTTTAAGTGAGAAAAATTTGTAAGGAAGCATAATTTTGACATGTTTAGGGTTATTTTTTTGTTTTCTTTTGTCCCATTGGAATTTGGTTGTGTTTACATCAAAAGCCAAAAGGCTTCACTCCCTCATTAAGCCTCAGTTGCTACGAAGTGCGCCGAGATGAACAAATCACTGTGAGGATTAAACACTGGGTGAAATGGTCAGGTTTTAAAATATGCATCTCTTAGACATGCAAGGCCTCATTAAACACGTCTTTAATCCAATTAGATTAGTCCATATCTTGAAATATTGATATTGGTCATGAATAATTCATGTTTTTCATACCCAAGACGAGGGGAATTTTCAGAGGTCGGATTAAAAATACCTCTGGGACGAGGATATTAAACTGACTTAGACCTCTTGGCCCCTAGTTCGATTGAAATTCAGCCCAAATGTAATGGATATTTGGTCACGCTTGCTTTCCTATCAAGCCCTTTTAGCACGATATGAAGTTGAAGAAGTGATTTTTACACAGCTCTGTGATGACAGTAAAAAAAAAATCTCTTCTCTTCTCTTCTCTTCTCTTCTCTTCTCTTCTCTTCTCTTCTCTTCTCTTCTCTTCTCTTCTCTTCTCTTGGTTTTTCTCTCCATCTCCCTGGTTGAGATGCTGGTCTCTGATGCAGCTGGCATCTCAGAAGGGCCAGCAGACATGCGGGCACAGAGAATCTGGCAGCTGCCAGGGCAGGCTGTCTCGGGGCTGTCCTAGTAACAGGCCAGTCTGGATAAGTTGGCAGAGGAAAGGATGGAGGCACTGCGAAAGCAAAAGTGAGAGAGGGACAACTTCTGTTCCCACAACAGTGATCAATTGTTGGGGTTGCTCGAAAATAAAAAAGAAAACCAGCCACCTGTTGTATGGATGCAGGTCGAGCCGCTGCGTTGTTAGGGAAGCAATGTGTTGTTGTCCGAGTACAAGTGTGCGGCTCCTTCAAACACTGAATGGTATGGGGTCATGACTGCCGAGAGGAAGAAACTGGCAGGAAGTGCAGTGTGCGGCCTCTCCTCAGGTTGTCGAGAGAAGAAGCAGCGCCTTCAAAGTAGCTCCAGCACATTATCTTGCAGCACAGGAAACAAGCCTGCTGCCTTGTCTAATTGGCACACTAGCCTTCTGTTCAGTTCTGCACTGTTTTCCCTCAGTCTTATTTAGCCGCTGAGTCTAGAAAGTTGGGGGAAAAAATTGCTTATGGAATTGGCAGAGGATGGAGACTACAGATAATGACTCTGGGCATCTTCCAGCTGTCATTTGTATGTGTCGTGTGTGGCGAGTAGGACCATATAGAACCGGATTTTAAAGTATTATTTTGTGGTAATTTTTGCCTTTTTATTTTTAGTGGTAGTGTAGAAAGACAAGAGGAGGGGAGCAATAGACACCATGTCCAGCATTTAGTCCAGCTGGGGGCCCCAGTTTTTTAATATCATCCAATTGCCTCCATTTAGTTTTTGGTAGCTGCATTTATACGTTCATACCAACAAAAAAAAAACCTCAAGTCATGAAGCTGATATTGTTGCCTTGGGGCAGTTTTGATTAACAGTAGAATTTATTATTGAACATCATCCAGCATTAATTCCTAATAAACTGTTGAATAAAGAAAAGAAAAATCCCTATAAGCGATGAAGGATGCTGCACTGAAAACCTGGATCCAAACTGTAGCATCTGCTTTAGCCTCTGAGCGAGGTAGACTTTTGGATCTGTTAGCCGTTAGCTTTATGGGGCTCGTTTACACTTTTGGGCACGTTAGGGTGGATGTGGACAGATAGCGCGGGAGGCTTTATGGCCTTTTGTGATGTTAATGTTAAGTGTTGTGACTCGGAGAGCTGTGAATGCTGGTTATTTTTTGAAAACTCCACTTTGGACTCGGAAGTCGTTATAGGTTTAATCTAACATTTTATCAAAATGATGAATCAACAGATGAGTTTGCCTTCTGAAAACCTATGCAGGTGTTTTTTGCTCCTGTTAAATTTTGTTTTTCTCATTCCGGGCTCATCTTTCACTGCAAAATAAAGTCCTGCACCTTTCATAGAAACAGCACAGCCATGGCTAGAAGTAGAGAGAACTCTCAAAAATGTCTATGGTGCAGTAAAGTTAAAATGCCATAAACCATAAAAGAAAAGAGGAAAAAACAAACGTCAAATTAAATGGTAAATGGACTGCACTCATATAGCACTTTTCTACCTTTGCAGCACTCAAACCGCTTTTTTCTCATTCACCCATTCACACACACACATTCATACACCAGAGCTGCCATGCACGGTGCTGCCTGCCATTGGGAGCAACTTCAGGTTCAGTGTCTTGCCCAAGGGCACTTCAACTGTGGAGGGGTTAGGGTTAGGGTTAGGGGATTGAACCACCAACCTTAAGATTGAAGGACAACCTCAAAAAACAAAAACTGAAGTCAATATGTACAACATTTTTCCAAATGCCCATAATTAATACCGACACTGGAAAAATGGTGGCTCATATAATAGATATTTTACTACGTTCATATTTAGTGTATTTGTCTCCTCTCTGCTCCATGTAATCACAGCCTGCAGTTCATCCTACTTCAGCC